GAACTATAAGCTGTTTCACTCTCTTTGGGAGCCACCAGGTTACTCAATGCACAGTGCAGAGACTCTCCTTGCTCTGTGCAAAGCAGCTTGGGGCTGAAAGTAGTGCAGTAGCATTTGTCTACTTGCCCAAATAAAATCCTAGGCCATCCTGCTTTCTAAATGCATGACCTCTTTATCCGGTTACTGGGGGAAGAGGGAGTGGGATTTGCTGCTATTAGTTCGCTTTTAACCTGTATTTTTTAAGAGAGGTTAAGCCAGACTGTCTTTCTGAAACAAGTATCTCTCTGCAGGGGGATTCAGCCCTGAGCAGAAGGAACCTGTACGTTTAAAAAAGATACCTAATTCTATCCTGTGGTTCCTGCTACGGTGGCCAAGTGACTAAATCCTTTAGTACTGCTGTCTAGTCTGCAGGATGCACAGACACTTCTCCCTCCCTTTTTATTTTTGTTGTTGTTGCTGTTCACCCTCATTGGTGAGAACAATATCATTAATTAATACAGGCAACCTCCTTCCTCTTCCTTTTTTTCCCTGACACATTCTACTTTGTACTCCCTTGTGGTAACATCGTTATCTACCATCAAAATACACTTCACTCACTAAAAGCCAGTGGTTGCCAAGAGGTAATTTTTGCATTTCCTGCCAGAAATTGCTGTGAGTTCCCTTCCCTCCCTTCCCTTCCTCCCTTCCCTTCCCTTCCCTTCCCCTCCTCCCTTCCCTTCCCTTCCCTTCCCTTCCCTTCCCTTCCCTTCCCTTCCTTCCCTTCCCTTCCCTTCCCTTCCCTTCCCTTCCCTTCCCTTCCCTCCTTCCCTTCCCTTCCCTTCCTTCCCTTCCCTTCCCTTCCCTTCCCTTCCCTTCCCTTCCCTTCCCTTCCCTTCCCTTCCCTTCCCTTCCCTTCCCTTCCCTTCCCTTCCCTTCCCTTCCCCCCTTTTTTTTTTCCCTACACAACCATTCTTGTTTCTTTGTCAAGTAATATATCTCTACTGAACTATGTGTATGGATGTATAAGCAGATTTAAACTTCTTATTAATACCAGAACAGTAGGTCATGGAGTTCATACAGTCTGATGAGACTTCCAGATCAAGCCTCTACTTGCCTTCCCTCAGGATTTGCGAGAAGCTAGGAGCTGTGAGAAACAGCAGAAAGTGCAAGGCCATTAATCATGCGGAGTAGGCAGACTGGTAGATATGCAGTGTCTTCATTCTCACACCTGTACCCTGCAGTCAACCAAAATCTTTTGGCAGAATTAAGTAGTGATATCGATACATCTGTCTTCTTCATTTTGGCATGGTTTCAGTAGGCTCCATTTCAGAGCATAGATTTCTGTTGGGAGTTACTACAGAAAAACAAAGATAAAGAACTATTGAAATTGAAGCCAAACCATAAGCCAAAAGTAATTTAGGTTTCCACTTTCTTGCAAGACTGAATTTTATCCTTCTTACAGTGGGCCAGCATGGTTAGAATCCTGTGGCTTTTTTGTCCTTTACTCCTATTTTCCCGCTCTGATATGACTGGGAAAATAGAAGTAATCTTTAGAAAATCCAGTCTCTTTTAAATCAGTTGTGAATGCACTCGAGATCTTTGCTAGAGACAAGGATAAGAAATCTATTAGTTTCTCGCTATGAGCTTAGATACTGCCAGCACAGTAGAAGCAAATTCTTCCAACCCTGAAAATGAAGTTTCTTATAATGTGTTATAAAGGGCAATATCAAATTGTTGACATTACCTGACAAATCTCAACTAAGGGCCACATTCCTACACTCTCAAGATGGAGAGCAGAGCTTTAAGCAGGAACAGTTCTACTGAGGACTTCAGGTGTGAAGATACAGAAACTACTGTGGACCTGAAAGATACCCAAACTCAACCTGAGAATAGCTATGTTTCTGCTTCATAATCTGTCTTGTAAAATGAAAAATATTTTACCATGTCTTTTTACTTTCCCCAAATACTCAGTTTTATTTATCTTTTCACCTTTTGAAATTGTTTGTTAGATAGCTTTGAAATACATATTTGAGCTATGCTTGCATGCTCTCACTAAGAGAGGTTTTGTTTGGGGAATCAAAGTGTTTGTTTAAATTTTGGAGTCTGCTACTTGGAATTTTAGACTGAGCACTTTCACTTGAATTCATCCCATCTAATGTCAGCCACTTCTCTGTGACATAGGACTTTTCAGAGTGTGAGTCAGCCCACCCAAGATCTACAGCTTTTACTGTCTACACAGAACTTGTCCAAGGAAGTGTCCAAGTGTAAAAGATAATTAGGCATGATAAATCTCGAACATGGCAATATTTTTGTTCTCCAGACAGTGATATCTTTGTCAAAGTTTTTCACTGAAGTGCATTCTTCTTGTCTAAAGAAATAGTGTGTTTATTTGTTGTATTAAATGCACGTTTTCTAGAGGCGCAAAAATCACTGCTAAGCAAAGACTTGTACAGAACAATATTTTGTCTTAGCAGTTGAACTCGCTTTAAAATTACAAGACAGCATGTCACTGTCTGATGGAATAAATATGTGGAAAAGCTGACAAAAATTGAACAGAATTCTGATCATTAAGAAATTTTATTTTATTCTGGCACATTTATCTGAAATCATTAATGGGATTAGTAAAGAAGAATATATATTTTTCCACAGGTGATAAAGAAACTTGGTAAGAAAAAATCATCAAGTTTGGGCATTAGGGGATCTTTTTTACTACAGTGAATGAAGAATGAAGTGCTAATATCTCTGAACCAGTAATGACAGGTGCTATGTCTATTATTTGTCTTGCACATTGTCCCAGAATAATGCAACTCTAGGTATTTTGTTCTCACTGATTTTCATTTAAATGATTCCTGAAAATTATATATAGTTTCAAAATGACCCCAGTAAATCACTTGAGAATAACTATTTTAACACTGTGCAAAAAAATGCACCAACTAGTGTCCAACATTTATTGTTGGAATAGAAGACAGCATCCTCATTAATTTAAGTGAAGTAATGTAGACTTTATAAAATCAGAAAACTCAGTGACTTAAGTAAAATTTTTTGACCTAAATAGAAATTGTGATGGAAATTTAAGGTTTTACAGAACCAGAGTCATCATATGTTAATCTCATAAATCTTTGGATGTTTTTCTGACATTTAGTTCATATGGTCATAGGGATATTGAAAGAGTAGCTACTAGGATGATTATTCCATCTATGTGGCCTTTAAAAATTATTTTCATTGGAAATATCAACATTTTATTCTACATAATCTATCAAAGAAGCATTATTTTGACATCCACAGATGACTTTAAGTTTAGGCATACTAGGTAGTGACACTGATCCCAGTTTATTCCTCATGGTAGTGGGTCTTGCTTAGGCAGTCTGCTTTGTTTTGCATTTTTTATACTCTTCATCAATTATTTCAAATGATTACTCTTTATATTGTTATTTTTAGGTCACTAGATACTTTATTTTCAAATTGCTGTGTAAACTGTCCTACTGTTAATCTTTTAATAAATCAGCCCCTTAAGCCTGCTAACCCCTTTTTATATTCTTTTCCATGGTCCCAACTGATAGTACATTTCTAGATATAAGACACTGTGAGCTATGCATGTTTCTGCAGTGTAGGAGCATATCAACTCTTGGTTCTGCAGCTCTGCTTACACTGGCTGAAACCAGCCTGTACATAGATGCCTAAGTTTGTGAGATACCATTTTAACGTTGGCAGCATGTCTTTGTTAGAATATGTGACAAGGTAATTTTTTATCATTGGATTTTATTCACTTCCACACTTCAGACAATACTGTAGACCACAGCAGCCAGAGGAAACCTGCTGAGTTTGTTGGCAATTGGAGTAGTGAAGAATGTAAATGAGGAGAAAAGAGGTGTGCTTCTGCAAATATTTAGTAGAGCCATGGCATTAGTCCCCTCTCTGACTGGCAGCAAGACAAAGAACTGCTTGTTGGCAGCAGTCAGCACTTTTTGCAATAAATTTGTTCAGCTTTCATTTCTGCTCATCTTCCCAAAATGCTCAATATTCTGTGCTGAGAAGGATTGGCTTCCAGGAAGCAGTATGCAAGCCAGAGAAAAGTATATGGAAAAAGGGAAGGGGGAGGACCACAGGATAGATGATAGAGCATTTGGCAGCCTAAATGTTATTTATATTAAAGTGTGACAGATACAGGATCTTTGGTAGAGGCAGGGACGTGAGAATGGTGTGTACATAATCTGAATTCTTGAAAAGGATAAAATAGGACAAGGCAGAATAAATAGGCGGAGTTTATAACATGGTTAGGAAAGATAAAATGAAAGATCACTAATGGGATGTAGGCAGCTGCAAAGAGGACTCTGAACGGTGAGTGTGTGAGAAGTGGAAACAGTGCAAACACAACCTCTGCTTGGAATAGCGTGGAGGACACCGCAGTGAGACACAGGAGGTAACACAAAGTTCCCAGTATGGTGTTAGGGAGAGGGAACTGGAGGCAACGCATAGCACTCAAGGAGTGAAAAAGGCTGGGAAAGAGCTTGTGAAATAAAGCACAGAAGAGTCTAAAGAGTCCCTGAAGCCAGTAATATCCTGGAATCTGAGGTGCACAGTCTTCTTTTTACTCGGAATTTGCTGTCTGATTGTACTGTCATATGAATCCTCCATCATGTGAGGATTATGCACCTCCATCATGTGCCTACCCTTCATCATGAGTTGGCATTCTGGCTCTGCTCTAAGAAAATGTACACAAAGGTTGTTTAGTTTAGAATGGAAGTGTTTCCTATTACATTTGTTACTGAAATGTCTGCTATCTCCACACTCATTTCTTTGATGAATTAGATACCTAAACCATGGAATCAAATTGATAAACTTGTTTTAGAAGCAGTTTGAGTTGAGCAGGGAGTCATTTACTTCTCAAAAAGCCAGTTATAGGCCAATAATTGACCTGGTACTTTTCAATGAATGTGAACTAATTGACATTGGAAATGGGTTACCTAACTTCCTGAAGGTACTTATAATTTATATGAAAATGAACAGGAAAAGATTTGTGAGGTGCTAAAAGGACAATACTGTAATTGACATTTGTGAAAAGTGTAGATTTTCCCACTTCTCTCTCTGAGAACCTGGATGGAAGTATTTCACTCTTTTTGCTCTGAATTATGTGGCAAATCATTGGTTTTGAGCTTTCTAGATTATGGGAACACTGTGAAAGTGTGGAAGTGCGGGGGAGGAGATTAAAAAACACAAGTTTCCGTTTCAGTTGTCAGCTTCATTTTTCTAAGCATAGCTTCAGTTGAATTACCAGCAATCACAAACCATCCAAGTGAACACCTTTAGGTTACAATTCCGGAGGGCTGGAGGTGGTGGTGCTGCTCTCTGTGTTTGCTCTCTGACAATCTCTGCTCTCCTGTCCCTTCAGTCTTGGTGGAATACCTCAAACACCATCAGACCACATACTATATGAAAAGCAGCTGAATGGGAATTTGGAGCACAGTGTCCTCTCCTATGCAATACAGCATTCTTGCCAATCTGAGATAAACCTTTCCCTCGCTCTCCTGCCCTCCTCTGCTCCATGAACTGAGCTCATGTCTGCTGTGGCACTTTGGTGGAGCAATGAAGGAACATGTTATGAGGTGAGTTGCTGGTATCCTCATTCCTCAAGTGCAGAGGAATTTTTAATGCATTGAAGTTTCACAAGTTTGCTCATCTGCCATTCCTTGCTTAGCAATAGTCAGATTTGGAATGTGGGAAAATCCACTTGTAAAATGAACACAAACTCCATATTGAATTGAGAAAATAGAAATTTTCAAAATAGGTAGTGTAGCTGATGAGAGTCAAGGTGCAAAAATGCCCATACTGCTAAAAAAATAGCTGTAGACATAGCTATTGTCAGATTTGATGTATCCTGTCAGAAAGACCTACACACAAGATAGATGACTAAAGGTAAAGTACTCTGAAGTTGTATGTCTTTTTTTTTTTTTTTTTTTTTTAAATCCGTGTTCCTCCTTCATGTGCTGATTCTGCAGTAAACAAAACAATAAGGGTATCCAGGCTGGTTACATAAAGCCAAGTTCTTTTCATCTCAAAAAATATGGTTCCACAAATGGACACAAATGGTTGACTACTGCTGCAAATATTGTACTAAGGAGATATACCTCATGGTCTGTTTACTGGAAACCTGTTTCAAGGTTAAGATGTTCACTGTTCCATGTCAGTAGTTAGTTGAAACATTTTGAATAGTGAGAAGAACTATTTGGTTTAGTTGAACTATGCTCAATTTTGGTTCAAGAAAATATCCAACTAAACTTCAAAATGGAGGTTTTAAACATGGACTTAGAAAAAATTGACATATTGCTTTCTTAGTCTGCAGGAGATTGGTTCAGCACATTTCCTCTGCAATATGCTACACTTTTTTCTTTCCGGATTTGTCTCTTGGACTTAATATCTGAGTTTCAGCTAACTTCTCATTGTATTATTTCACTTTTTTTCACTTTTTCTTTTTTTTTTTTTTTTTTAATCTTCTTTTGTCTCTTCAAATTTTCATAAAATCATAGAATATCCCGAGTTGGAAGGGACCCATAAGGATCATTGAGTCCAACTCCTGGCACCACACGTCTACCCAGAAATTCAGCCCAAAATTTGGATGTCTCTAGTTCCCTTTATATTCAGCCACTCTCATAAGTATTTGCAGTATCTATCCATATGTTTCAAGTGAATTTCTTTAAGATTTTTATTTGTTCTGTACCCTCAAACACTAAAGTTAACTTGTCATATTCCCAATGCATGTGTTTGCCCCCTCCATTAACTCTCTACATGTCAAGGTCCATAGTGAAAAGGTTTTATGTCAGTGATCTTACACAGGGTGGATATAAATTAATTTTCAGACATTACTTAAACGACAAAAAAATAAATAGTTTTCATAGACCCTTCCAGCTTTCCTACCACTTTCCTAAAACAAGAAAGAAAAGAATCATATTTGCATGGAGACATTTTTTATTTTTTTTATAACTTTCTGAGTGCACCAGTGATACATTTCTGTGCTTGTCCTTTGGCCATCACAAAAATGAAAACTATGTCTATGTTTTTATTAATTCTTATTTAGATTTTGAATCAAACTAATATTCTCCCACTCTCAGCATATATACATGTTTGTTTGTCTTAATTCATGAGACCACACAGACTCACTTGTCTTGGGAGGGCCAGCTGCCCTGGTGTTCTTGTGGCTGGTAATGGTCAATAGCAGATGTCTTGGCCAGAGCATGAGGGCAAGTCCAAAATGCAATGCTGCTTTCCCATCATACCCTCTCAGCCACCAGCAAGTGACTCTTCAGAGTCTTTTTCAGACAGGGAGCTGTCTTCATACTGAAAAGTTGTGGTAAGATTCTTCTTTCACAGTTTTGTACAGTAGCTTGATCAGCCCGTGAATTCACAAACTCCTGCACCAAGGGATTTCAAAAACCTAGGTACATACTGAGTGTATATGAGTGATATTCTAGTCCAGTTAATCTTGGATGAAAGTATACCAAAGCACTGATTTAAAGTAAACTGGTAAGTCTTTTCCTTTAATTTCTTAGCTGTTTCTTGGCCTGTTCCGCCTTAAAATAACTTTGCTTTATACCCACTCCAAAGAGGTGAAAGCCCTGAGGAGAACCAGGCCACGAAAAGCAGTTCAGTCAGTTTATAAAGTTGAGATTGACCAGGATTGGAGTTTAAAAAAAAAATGTAAGCCCAAAAGACTCTACTCTTGCTCTGTAATGTAGTCAAATAAATATATCTGGGAACAGTAGATTAAGATATGAATTATGATTAAGACGCAATTAAATATTTACATTAGTTTTCACTAGTCTATGATTGATTTGTTTGTCTGAAATGGACATTTAATGGGTAGAGCACTGAGCCAATGATGAGTCATAAATTGCACATCCCAGGAGGCACACCACACCAGGCCAGGCTCAGAAACAGCCACTCGGGCAAAGGGGTGACTCCTATCTCCTCCTGAGTTCAGTGGAAGCAAGAGATAGCTAGAAAGTTAAAAGTATATTGGTTTGTTTCCTAGCAAGGGAAAAAAAAAAAAAAAAACAAAACAAAAGAAAAGAAAGAAAAACAACAAAAAACAAACAAACAAAAAACCCACATGGAGAACAGATGCTGCTTCCTTATTTCCCATCTGCTCCAGCATACATACATGTTCTGCTTAAACTTCAAGTATGGCCAGCTTACAACAGAGTTCTTTTTGCCGCTTAATCCCTGTGTGCCTGAATAGCTACTGCATTCAGTAGGGTTTGGCGTCAAGGTCAATACTCCCATTAAAGTTTAAACCTCAGAGCACTGAACAGTCATTCTTAATGTAACATTAGCTAGGACTTGTTCATGTCTATTGAATTTGTATCTTGTTTAAAGAATGATTAATCAGCTCTCAGAACACTCTACATGTTGGAAAAAGGAAAATCTTCCCTGTATTCATGTGAATTACAAAATATTTTTCCATTGCCAGTCCTGATGTAATTGTGACTGAGTGGAAGAAAGAAAGGAAGATAAGGGTTAAAATGATGTTAGAAGTGTAACAAAAGATATTTTAATTGGCTAAGAAATAAAACAAATGAAACATTTTCTATACTGGTTGAGTTGCTTCTAAAAAAAATATGTCTTGATGTAACTTCTGGTTTCACTGTTAGAGGATCTCTGCTCTAATCCAGTTACTGTATTTTAGAAGAGGATCACAGCATCCTTGGGTTGCTTTGAAGGTGATGAAGGAGACACCACAAAATCATCGTTTCAAATAATAAATATACATGTTATCAGATTAGCTATAAAAAATGTCCAGTATTGCACCTTTCCCAACTTTATTTATCCACCCAAGTCTGCGTATTTTCTGAATGACAGAATCCATTTTCTTTTGAGTGAGTACAAACCCTTTTACAGAAATGAATGATGTCACGTATTTAGTACCATAAGTGTTTTATATGCTGTTTTAGATCATTACACAGAATGAAAATTAAATCTGACACCAGGTTCTCTTGCTTGCATAGCAAAATAAAGTTCTGATTATATATGTATTCATTATGTTCATCCAGACATAGAGGTCTGCAACATTAATAGATTAACTAGGGGATAGAACTGAACATACATAAGAAAAGCCATTGATATTGTCCTAAAAACAGAATTGCTAAGAGGGTGGAAAGCACCCATTATTTTGGTGAAGCATGTGTAAGGGGGATAAAGGTTGGTAAAACATTGTCTTTGTCACAGTTATGATGTTGCTAAAGACTCAGAAATATTAAAAGTTTTTGTTTGTCTGTTTGTTTGTTTTCCAGAAGAAGATAAAGGATAAAGTTCAATAAACCAGAGACTAGGCTTCCAAGGAAAGTATATGAAGAATGTGATCATAATCTATCTGTAAAGTGAATGAACAATAGAGATCAGAAGCCATTTAAACCAACGGGACTCTTTTTCCAGAATGCATACAGAGCATCCAGGAGAACTCGAAAATGCACAGAAAAAAAGAAGAAAAAAGAATTAAAAAAAAAAAAAAAAAAAAAGCAGCATGTTATTACTTGTGTAAACATGTAAACATTTATTCAGTTCATGGTAAACCATTTTGGGTAATAAGATGGCTGAAGAGTAACCTACTACCATTATTTCAGAAAAACTTGGAATATACCATAAAAATTAAAAAAAAAAAAAGATATATGAGAAGCTTTGCTTATTTTTGGAAAGCCTTGCCATTGAAGCAGTGGAACTGCAGGCAATAAGCTGCAGCAATATATTAACATTCACTTGGTGTCCAGTCTGAAAATTAAGTGGAAACAGAAGTATGTTCCCTGTGCGACCGGAGTTACAATAAAGGAAAGTAACCACTAAACAGGCTTATATATTCAACAAGCTATTAAGACACGAATTAGTCCTCTTACAAGGAAGTCAATTAAAAGGTTTGCAATGTTCAGTTGGATCCTACTGATTCCTTATTACCTCTTTTAATTCTGGCTGCAGACATATAGAGTAATATCAGCTCAAGGAATGTTTGCAAGAATGAAGCTGGGGGGGAAGGAGGGGTCATTTTACATTCTGCCATGAGGAACACAGAGTAAGATAAGGGGAAACACAGATAAATAATTTAACTGTTGAATCTACAGTTTCTATTTGCAACATGTCCATCAGTGTTAAAAACTTACATATTTGTTAATTGCTTATGAACACACATTTAATTGCTTATGAACACTTCAGTTAACATTAATTATAATATGCCAAGGTAAAAATACCTCTTTAAGAAGCTGTAAGAAGTAGGAACAAAGAGCAAGATAATAAGTTTTTATAGGAGAACCAGATAGTTCTGAAATTACCTTTCAGTTCAGTTGCTCACACATTTGGTTATAGATAGGATGAAACATCTGTCAAGGATTTGCTTCAGACAAAACAATCTTGGGACATTTGGAACTGAAACTCATGAGAATTCTTTTTTTTTTTTTTTTCTCCTCCTGTATGAGTAATCAATATAATGATTTTACTTGTGACATTTCACTCACTTCATGCTATAAACTAAGGCCTTAAAATTTTGTTTGGGAAGAGCAACGACTTTTTCATCAGGGTGTACCATCTCCTTGCCTGAAAAATCTGCTGACATCTAAGCTATGCTGAGGGAAGCTGAGTACTCACGGGAGGACAACTGGGGCAGGAATGTACGAAAGGTAATCATTGATCAAGGACCCTGGCATTGTCAATGTGGCGAAATCCAGAGTTGGGGACCCTAAATAGACTAAAGTGGGAAGGGTTAGGCCATCAGACTGGAGTCAGAATAGGAAGTCTGAAGTACGTAAATTGACAATGTACTGGGATGAGGTTCCAAGATTAGGAGAGAGAGGACTTGGGTCTAGACCATTCCTCATTTTATATTTTTATAGCTGATTGATCCTACTTCAGTTGGCACTTGTCTGCATCAAATTTCATTTTTCTTCAAACCCCAGATGACAGACCCAGTTTTTAATAAGTTTTGCATCTGTTTTTCAGTAGTTTTATTTAAACCATGTTTCCTTGGCTCATCAAGGATATCATCTCCTTACATGTACAGCAGGAAAAGAATTTTAACTGTGTGATCACATTTTCTTTGTACACAGAATTCCACTCTTGGGATGAATTAGGGTGTGTGATGAGAAAGGAATATTTTCTGAAGGATAACTGTTTCATTTGTAGCAAAAGTTGAAACCTGTGCAACGAGTGAATAAGAAGTTGCGGGAAAAGAATGAATAATGGTCTCCTGTTTAAGGCTGTTGAAACCCATCCAAGAGATTGGATTCCAAATGAACATCTGCCAAAAAATATCAGTGTGAATCTGGGCAAGTCATTCACCCAATCTTCACTCAGGTGTTTGCTGGTTGTGTTTATTATCTACTGATAGCCATCAGTATAACTGGGATCATACTGTTTGATTTGCAGGTGTGTCAAGTACTCACAACTCAGACTGCAAGTTCTATTATATCAGTCTTTGAATCACAGGATCATAGAGCATTTTGGTTTGGAAGGAACCTTAAAGGTCACCTAGTTCCAACCCCCCTTCCATTGGCAGGGACAACTTCCACTAGACTATGTTGTTCAAAATCCCATTTAAACTGGGCTTGAACACTTCAATGTATGGGGCATAAAGGATTTGAAGATTTTGAAATACAGGTTTGTTCCAAATTAGTATCTATTCCTCAGGTTAAATAATTTCTGGTGGGCCATTTTTTATTGAACATGGAATTTCAGGTTGTTTAAACAGAGTAGTTCATTTTTAGATTGCATTATCATAGAAAAACTATCACATTTCTAAAAGCTTGAAGCTCCATTAAAAAAAAAAAAAATCAAACCCCAAATTAGGCGTTTTGACTTTTCTGAAATTCAATGCTCCTCTCAAGATGAAATTTCAGTGAGTGCTGATATAGAACCATGTTTGCACAAAGCATGACTTGAAGGCAATTGTCTGTTCCAGGAGGTAGAATTTCATTTTTGCTTTCATCACTGGTTTCCATTATTGAATTTCCATTTACAATAATAAGTCAATGGCATAGGGTCATGAACACACTTTGCTTTATAACATTTATATTCTGTCAGTCTCTTGGAGTCACAAACAGATCACTAAATTAATGCTTATTTTTCACCTTAATGCATCCATATACCGGTTTTCCAGAAAATAATAATAATAATTAATAATAATAATAAACAACTCTTGAGTTTTGTGGAAATATTTGGAGATAAAGAGATAACAGCAACAGCAGTAATGGAAGTGCCTATAACATTTCTGTCTTTTTAGGAAGATTTGAGTGCTGTGGAATAAATAAGACCCGGGGCCATGCTACATGAAGTGAAATAAACCAAGGAGCTTATCAGTAATTAAACATTGTTTAATCTGTACCCTGATGTAGCTGAAGTGACATTGACAAAGCAATATGTGATCATGTAATCAGAGAGTACCACCATATATTAACACCAAGGAACTGTCTTTAAATTCTGCAAGGAGTTGAATTCTGAGACTTGCTGTCTTTGATCTGTAAGCTTGTAAATGAAGAAGGATTGAAAACTGGAAACCTTAAAATTGTTGCCAAGATAGAAATAATAAATAAATAAATAAATAAATAAATAAATAAATAATCTGTTCAGATTGTTAAAGACTTTCGTGTAGTTCTGGTAAATTTAAAGAAATAGCTATGTATAGGTAATATGGGGAAAAAACAGCCTATATTTATTTATAGTTTACTTGCTTTTCAAAGTAAATTGTTCAGACTACTTAAGAAAACCCGTGGAAAATATGCACTACCCTAATGTTTCCAGTGCCAGCAGATTTCAGGAAAATTCTTTTCTGTCTGCAAAGTCTTACCTATTAATTCTAGGTCTAGCAGCAGGCTCTGAAATGCTGCTTTAGATTTTCTGATATGCTATAATAGTCTAAATATTTTTACATAACATTGGAAAGAAAGCACTAAACACCAGATATTATAAATTCCTTATAAAGAGTGTTTCACTAGGCTTTTAAGTTGTAACCTACTGAAGCTAGTAAAGGAATGTTGAGAACATGTAAGTACTGTTAAATTAAAAGAAAGATACTTTTGCAAAAAGCCTTTCTCTCTTCCTAAGGAACACAAAGGAATTATTTTCAGGGAATCTCAAAGAGGCCAGCACTCAGATTTTCAATGCCATCCCAACCTGAGAGAGAGATAGAGGACTCTTTTCCACTTCCCCATATCTCTTTCCATGATAATAATAACAACAAAATCAGTTTGAGCTTTACAAAGGATATAAGAATAGTCTGATTAGAAAAGGGTTGTTTTTGCAAACACAGTGCAGATTTCAGGAAACTTTTTGGAAAAAAATATATATGTCTTTCAAACTTTTTCTGTCAGAACTAAGTTTCCGTGTCAGAAACTTTATTACGATTATTTCCATCATAATGACAATTATTAAATACAATAATAAATACAATGTTAAATTTCTCAATATCTATTGAACAAAAACCTGCTTCGGTGCAGAATATCTATATTCACTTGAGGATTAGCTGGCTATAAGGCATTATTTATGCATCAGACCTTCACAAGTAAGATAGACAATGCTCTCTTCTGAATTTTTTAGAACTCCATTTGTCTCTGGGGACAGTTTATATTAACAAATCAGTTTAAGACTGGTGAAAATTCAAACACTGCATTTGGGTTGACTTATTTATAAAAACAGGTATGTTTGGAGTAACTGGAAACTGAATTTGAACTTCTGTTGAAAGCTAATTTAACCAAATATCTGAGCAAAAGGAATGGAATACAAGAAGACCTGAAACTGGAGTGGATTCTTTTCTGAGTATTTGCCACAAGGCACTTGTACAACACTGCAAGTACATGAGCAGAGGAAGCTTGCCAGCACTGCCAATTTTAACTGTTAAGCCAACAAAGAATGGCTGATAGGCAAATTCAGGGGACCCCTGAAGAAATGTTGTCTCTTGTAAGGGTATGGAAGGAGGAAGGCAAATGTCTTTGGAGTGAAGCATGCAGAGCAAAGCTTCTATTATTTCACCTTCAGTTGCTTTGCTCTCTTGGCTCACTCCCCTGCCTTTTTCAAGCAAAAAATAGTAGCAAGAAGACAAAGAAGGATGCTGCCTGTACCATGGATGTTACCTGCTGTTTCACTGTTACGTCTGTAATATAATGACATCACCTTAATACTATCACCATGGCTTGAAGGTCCAGAGGAAAAATGTGTAAACTCCACAAATGATTACATTTAAACCATTTTTTCTAATGATTTAATATTCTGAAATGTCATTCATTTTAATAGTGGCAGACTCTCCTACTTAACAGTACAACCCTTGGTAGAGGGTGACTGTATCTTCACATTGGGGGTATTTGAATTCAACCATTTACCTTCTGGATTTATCTGGGAAATACTGCAGAGTGCTATGTACCCTATGCACAAATAACCCTCTAATTGTCTTATCTGAAGGTACTTCCCATGTGTACCAGCTGGGAACAATGTCTGTGTAAGCAGAAACTATCATTTTGACTTAAATACATTTTCTAAATACAAA